CACATATTTCTAAAATGTGTATGGAATTAACAACAGGGCTTCAAACTACATGAAGCAAAAACCAATAGAACTGGAAAAGAGAAATAATCAAATCCACAAGAAGAATTAGAGACTGCAATACTTTTAGTAATCAACAGAACAAAATCAGTTGGCAAAATTAGTAGATAAAATAAGTATATAAAAAATCTGAAAAAACAGCCTCAAAAAACTTGAAGTAATTTGTAAAACACTGTGCCCAACAACAGCAAAATACAGTCTTTTTCAAGTACACAGGAAATATCCGACAAGTCAGAACATATTCAGAGTGATAAAACAAAACAATTAATTTTAAAAAACCAAAATCATATAAAATATGTGCTTAGACCATAACTGGATTAAACTGGAAGTTGGTTACAGAAAGTTACCTAAAATATTCCTAATATATGGAACATAACTAACATACTTTTAAATAAACCATGCATCAAAGAGGAAGTCAAAGGGAAACTAGATGTTTTTAATAGAATGACAACATATTAATAATTTTTGGTTGCAGATAAAAGTTAATGGTATTTTTATACACTAGCAAGCAGCAGTTTCAAATTGAAAGTTATAAAAGTTCTATTTACAATAGAATCCAAAAAAAGGAAATACTTAGGTATAAATCTAACAAAGTATGTATGAAACTTTTATGCTGGAAACTACAAAACAAAACACATAGACAAAAATCCAAGCACTAAATAAAGCAATATACCATGTTCATGAATTGAAAAACAAAAGTTATTAACATGTCATTTTTTAAAATTTTTATTAACATATAATGTATTATTTGTTTCAGGGGTACAGGTCTGTGATTCATCAGTCTTGCACAATTCACAGCACTCACCATAGTACATATGCTCCCCAATGTCCATCACCCAGCCACCCCATCCCTCCCACCCCCCTCCACTCCAGCAACCCTCAGTTTGTTTCCTGAGATTAAGAGTCTCTTATGGGGGCGCCTGGGTGGCTCAGTCGTTAAGCGTTTGCCTTCGGCTCAGGTCATGATCCCAGGGTCCTGGGATCGAGCCCCGCATCGGGCTCCCCACTCCGCGGGAAGCCTGCTTCTCCTTCTCCCACTCCCCCTGCTTGTGTTCCCTCTCTTGCTGTGTCTTTCTCTGTCAAATAAATAAAATCTTTAAAAAAAAAAAAAAAAAGTCTCTTATGGTTTGTCTCCCTCTGGTTTTGTCTTGTTTCATTTTTCTCTCCCTTCCCTTATGATCCTCTGTCTTGTTTCCAAATTGATCTATGGATTCAACATAATTCCAATCAAATTCCCAGAATAATTTTTAATCAAAAGCTTATTCTAAAAATTATATGGAAAAGCAAATAAACTAGAATAGTCAAACAATTTTTTAATAATAAAGTTGGAGGGCTCACACTACCTGATTTCAAGACCTATTATACAGCTATAGGAATCAAGACAGTGTGATACTGGAGAAAGAATACAAATATAGATTAATGGGAAAATAGAGAGTCTAGCACTAGACACACATATATAGATAATATATTTCTGACAAAGATACCAAAGCACATAATGAAGAAAGGGTAGTCATTTCTACAAATGAGGCAAGAATGATTAAACATCCATACTGAGGGTGGGAGGGAAACACCTCCATCCATACCTTATATCATATAAAAAATTACCTCAAAATGGATCAAAATGGATATCCCTAAATGTAAAACCCATAACTCTAAAATTTCTAGAATAAAACATGAAAAAATCTTTGTGACCCCAGGCTACATGAATATTTCTTAGATATGATAATGAAAGCACAATTCATTTAAAAAAATTGATGAGTTGGGTCTCATGTAATTAAGAATCCCTGTTTTTTGAGGGACACTGTTAAAAGAATAAAAAGTCAAGCCACAAAACTGGAAGAAAATATTTGTAAATCATAGACCAATAGAAAAGACCACAGAAAAGTAACTCATACTCAGAATATAAACATAACTTTCAAATCTCAAAATTAAAAAAGCAATTCAATAAAAGTGGACAAAAGATCTGAAGACTTTACTAAAGAAGCTACACAGATGATAGATAACTACATGAAAAGATGCTCAATGCCATTAGTTATTAGGGAAATGCGAATTAAAATCAAAATGATATGTTAAAACCTAGGAAAGGCCTGAGACTTTATCTTACTTGCACAGCAACAAGTTAGCCTGCTACTGTTTTATGGTTGTTGGCGAAAGATGCAAGACTTCTGGTCAGAGACAAAGGACAGTTTATTCCAGCACAACATACAACATGAACACCACATTCACGTCAGTCCCCCACTGTCCAAGTACTATAGAGGCGATGCAGAGACAGGTGCAGATAGATGCTGTGCATGCAATGGGTTTATGTCACAGCCAAGGAACACCAAGCTTGCAAAATCTCTACCATTTGCAAGCAAATCTGCCTAAGCTTCACCCTGAAGAGAGACATTATCTTTATTAGACTGACTAGCAAACAAATGTCTCTACTCTGAAAAGAGACACTATATCTTCCAAGGTTCTTTGTCATACAAACATCGTTGAAAAGATAATCCAAAATAAAAGGCTGTTTGTGGCTTTGCTCATAGGACATGCAAAAATGCAGAAGACCAATGGAGAGTTATCGCCCAACATGAGCTATCACTACGTACCTATGAGAATGGCTAAAAAAAATTTTTTTTTTTGTAATAACATTACTGCAAAGTGCTGGTGAGGATATGAGTGACTAGAAATCTCATACATTACTTTGGGGAATGCAAAATGGTACTTCAGAAAACAGTAGAATTTTTTTTATAAAATTGAACCTATACCTCCCATATGACCCAACAACCCCACTCCTAGGTATTTACCTAGTTGAAGTGAAAACTTACATTTGCACCGAAGCCTGTTTTGCAAATGTTTATAGCAGCTTTATTTACATTGCTAAAAACTGGAAACAACCCAAATATTCCTCAACTGATGAATGGATCAACAAACTATGGTGCATTCATGCAATGGAATACTACTCAGCAATTAAAAAAAAAAAAACAGTGAACTACTGAAACACACAGCAACATGGATGGATCTTAAATGCATTACTATAAGTGCATTATAAAAGAAGTCAGACTCAAAAGGCTACCATCTGCATATTTCCATTTATATAGCATTCTGGAAAAGACAAAATGATAGAGAGAAAATATACCAGCAATTGCCAGGAGCCGGAGATAGAGAAGAGAAATGAGTACAAAGGGAATTGGGGGAATTTTTTGAGGTGATGGAACTGTTTATACCTTGATTATGGCAGTGGTTTCAAGACTGTGTGTTAAAACTCACAGAACTGTATGCTAACGAGAATGAATTTTACCATATGTAAATTATACCTTAAAAAGGGGGAGAAAAAAAAGAGAAAGAATATGTATAAACTCTAGAATCAGACTCCCTGAGTTGTGCCTCTTTCTAAATATGGATCTTGCATATATTCTCAAACATTCTAAGCATCAGTCTTCTCAACTGTGAAGTGAGAAGAATAATAGTAACTGCCTCTTAGAGTTGTTAGCTTTCTTTGTTGCTGTTCTATCATTAATTATTATTTGGTATCCTGTTATATACCTAACATTGTGCTTTATGTTAAGATACAAAAATTAATCTATGGTGTGGCCCCTGCCTTCCAAGAGGCTACAATCTAGTGAATAAACATCCCCGAATAAACAAATGAACACAATTGTTTTACTGCCATTAGATTATTACAATTAAAAAAATTTTAAAAACCCAATGTTAAGCAACTATTAAACCAAATTCATGTTAATAATTTTAAATGTAGATCAACTTTAGCAAGACTTTTTTAAATAGTAATAGAAATTTCAAGTCAAATCTAAGATATCCTATTGGTTGCCCAGATATTTCTAGAAATATCTCCACAGATAATTTTTAAAGACTTGAAATTGCATTTATTTATAGGCTTATCAGATTCAGAAAGAATATCAGCCTACTCTGTTTTTACCAATTTATTTTAGTATTTCAACATTAATTTAAATAAGAGTATCAAAAAAGTACTATAAAAAGAAAATGAAATCATGCTTCCTCATTTTCTAAGTCTTCATGTATCTGGATAAAATGTTTCCCTAAAAAGATAAAGCTAAGAGGAATCACTGAAAATGGATGAAGATGCTGTGAAGTATTCCGGAAAATTCTGCTCCCTCCAAAAAGAAAAGAATTAATGACTTCACCTTTATGTCACATAAAAGATCCAATAATCTTGGTGAGAGATGCATTACAACCACATGTCACATACCCACACCCAACACCTTTCTTGGCATATCAGCCACCTTTGTCCCCTCAACCAAGTGGAATGTCCTTAGTTCAGGCTTGAGCATTAGAATCCTGAAAAATTCATGCCAGGACATACTACAGCTACTTTTACAGAGCTAATTACATTTCACTATATTCAAGGTATCTAACAGGATAAAGCTCTAAAGACAGTTTGTTTTAAATGTGTCCTTTCCACTCAAGGCTTAAAGAAAATCAAGCTATTCTTATTTCAAAGATTTCCTATCTACCGTCATCTCATATCACGTCTCAGTGAAACACTGTGAAAAGTGTTCTTGGAGTGTTATCAACTAAAAATTTTGCAACAAGTATGGCTTTTTGCACAGGATTTCACACTGAATAATATAGTAACATCTAGAGATTCCTAACCTAGTGAAAAAAAAGAAAACATTTTAAAAGATATTTTAAAAAGCATGACATATGCACAAGGGCTTCTCAAACAGAACCTACAGGCGTGTTTTCACCATTTTACTTGCTCTGAACAATTGTTCTGAAATATGGACCCCACAAATACGGATCTCCCAAAGTTTTATATGTTGAAAGTATTCCTGAGGAGTACATCTCTCAATAAGAAGCCAGCATGTGGAAAGGTATAAGGAGAGGAAAAAATAAACTTCATATGATAACTAAAGTCAAAAAAATATAATTAGTAGAAATGTCCCTTGGAAGAACCCAGAGAAAATGATCACTGGCTACCTTACCTTGCTTTTTTCCATTAACATTTTCTAAAATACCAGAGAGCTGGCTGTCAAAGCTGTGTTGAAGGTCACTCCTTTGTTTTTCAAGGTGGTATTCTTCCTCAGCAATAGAAGAAAGCACATGTGGTGGCTTTTGGTCATCAAGGGTCTGATTGGGCCACTGGGACATTATGGAACATGAGTCCTTTGCATGTTGGCTAAGTCTGGGGCTCGAACTTTGGGCAGAGTCCTGCAAATCCCTATTACAATAGGAGAAATGATCCACTTCAAGAAACAAGGGATTTGCATCCTCTTGACGCCAATCATTGCCTTGTTCTTCATCTTCAAAGTAACCTTCCTGAATCTGAATATCATCTAAGTCCTGGTCTAGCTTTTCACTCAATTTAGAGTCTTGTTTGCTTAAGTTAACCAGCGAAGCAGATAGCGTATCTCCTGCTTGCTGGAGAGCTTCATAAACCCGAGATATCCAGGAAGAGAGAGGCTGGAAGAAGTTCTGAGCATCCTGAGACGCCATGGCCAAAACCATGGCCAGCTATCTGATGTCTACAAGTCCACTTGTTCAGCTCCTTCAGTACTCTGGACTTAATGTGAACTACAGAATAAGCATGATGACAAATTAAATTGGAGGTCTCTTAATGGCTGTGAATAGTTCACTCTCAAAACTCAGCTGAAACAGAGGAAAGAAATACTTACACCTATTACAGTAACAACCTCAGATCCATTATCAGATACCTATAATCAATGTCAAACAACATTCAGGGACAAAAAGAGATCATCATTGAAATCTGAAAGTAGCTAAATAAAAATTACTGTGAAGGTCTAAATGTAGATTACTTCAATGCGTATTCACCTGCTCAGGCATGTGCAAAACTTCCATCGGCAGTAATGGGCTCTATTCATGTGGACTGAGAGAAGTCTATCCCCATAGACCATACTTAAGTGTGAAAAGGATAAATGACTCTTCATTAAGAGGCAGTTGGATATGACATTTCAAAATACAAGAAAGGTTGGATGCTTCATCTACAAACCTGCAGATCCCAGCGAGCAGGCTAATAAGCATCTCTGCTTCATGACACAAAGATTTATCCTTTCAAAGGAAATGTGTGCCTGGAATTAAAAAGCTTTTAACAGATCTTAAAGTAAGATTTTATATTTTTATGCAATTTCTACAAATCATATCTATTTTTGGGGACCAAAGAACCACTGAAAAACAGAGCAGCAAGTGGAGTATGCAGCTTACTGGAGACATGAATCTAGCATCCTATTGCCTTTGTTTGTGTTCTAACTTCCCGAAGACAACCCTCCACAACCTAGAAGACTCCTGAGAGAACCTCCTGCCCCCAAAATTTACAATCTGAAGGAGGCAGCTATAGGACATTGACAGAGCAACAGGGCACAAAGATTCTAGAGCTGAACATCTATACTTTTATACATATACATGCATACAAACATTACACATATATACATTTGCATGTGTATGTGTATTGTGTGTGTGTGTGTGTGTGTGTGTGTGTATATATATATATATATATATCTTATTGCCCTTACAATACTCATCAACAGCTCAGGATGAATGCTATAAATGACCACAGAGCCTAAATTCACTGCTTGCACTTAATTACCCCATCTCTTTATAGCAATAGCTTCCTTCTGACTCAGTTTACCAACACTCCTATGTTTCAGCCTTCTTGTCCTCCAGCTACTGCAATTGATAGGATTACCTACATTTTCCTGAAAATGTCTTCTTAGCTTTTTTGGGGGGGCTTTTGTAATAGCCATTCATATATACATTGATTCATCAATAAACAAATATTGGTAAGTACCTATTAAGTGCTGGGCACAATGCCAGGTGTGAGGTAACCCTGAGGTCTGTCCCCATGGGGCCCATATTCCAATTAAAGGGAAACTGAGCTCTCTGCACTTTCCCTTTATGCTAAATAATTCATGTGTTTGTCTTTCAGGCTCTTTCTTGTCTTCCCATCAACTACATATATGCAACCACGCATTGTCCTATGGTTACTCCTCCTGCCCCTTCATACTCATCAGCTGGAAGAGCCGACCCATCCATAATCTCAACACTTTTTTTTAACTCCAAAATATACATCTCCAGCCCATAGTTCAATCCCTTTATACCGGCTTAGATCTCTGGTTATCTAAGCTAGTGGTTCACAGAATTTGTATGAGAATCACCTGGTAAGCTATTAAAAAACAGAGGTTCAGGTGGGTTGAAGGAATAGGCCCTATCTTTTATTTTTGTCAAGTTCCTCAGATGATTCTGACACACACCAAAATTTAAGAAATGCTGATCTAAGGAAAGAGCTACACTTGGGTGTCTCACCAAAATCTCAAATTCACCACTTTTACTACTACAAATGTTCAACACTCTAGACTCACAATTGTGATTTTTTTCTCTTCAACCTTGCCCCCTTCTATTCCTTGCATTCCAAGTTCTGCTACTTTTAGGTCTATGCAGACTTTTCTGTTGTGTTTTGTACAGTGATCACCTTTCCGAGACTCTAATTTCCCCAGAAATTACATACCTAGCTGGTTCCTGTCTCAAGTCTTCCCCAGCCTCAATCCATCCTTCTAGGTTTGCTCACCATAACCCAACCTTCTAGTAGGTTTATTGCCTGGCTCCTCCCCTAGAATAGACATTCCTGGAGGGCAGGGATTGCATGTTTTATTCTCTAGTTTACCCACAGTGCTTAGAAGTGTGCTAAGTATGTAGTCAATTCTCAATAAATGAAGTCATGAGGGCTATTTAATATTGTGCTTAGTGTCTAGCATATAGTATATACTCAAATTTGCTAAATTTATGAATAGACCTCAGAATTGCTAAAAACACCTTAACATTACTATATAAATCCCCTGCTTGGTAGTATTAAAGGGTTCTTTCAGCATTTCTTCCACTCCATTTCACCACCCACAGATTTTTTGTTTGTTTCTCCACAAATACTGTGCCTAAATTGTGCTTCAGAGGATCGTAGACCTAGAAAGTTCCCTGAGAAATCATTGGGTTTAGCTTCTACCACTGTCCTTTTGGTACTTGAAACTTTTTAAGACAGAAATTGCATATCTTCCTTAATAATCCTTTCTATTGTTTTATTACACAGAGAAAACTTTGTTTCCATATTCAATCTAAGACCCTTTAATTTAAGCCAGCTTTTTCTTATCCAAACTTTGAACTAGTAACAGCTCATGTTCTTGGTCTCATATCTCTTTCTTCTGTAATCTCTGTCCATCAAAGCCTCATGGCAATTTTTCTAAAAAAAATAAAGCTTATATCACTCCCCTAGTTTAAAAAGAAAATCAAAAAAGAACCCGCACTATGGTTTTCCTGTTACTTATACTGCAGAATTTGAGCACTGGCAGTCCATCTGTCAAAATCACCATTCATTTACATTTACTGACACAGTTTTTAAAAAATTAATTTTGATGCCTCCAGTTCACTACAGTCCTCATCTCTCTCTGTTATATGTACCCACTTGCTTCATTCATTTCTGTGTAGCCTGCCTGACCCCTGGAAGCATCTGAATTTCCAAGCCCTACAATGTATGATAAAGTTCACATTGTCTCCTATGGCATACAAGAGGAGAGATGCTCAAAAATGCACAATCGACATTGCCTGACTGACCTCAGTGCTGGAGGGGTCCTAGAGGCCTCCTGCAAGTTGCCAACTCTTTAACTGCTGAAATATTGGGTGTGAGGACTTCTGGGAGGTGCAACAGGACCATAGAGGGGAGAGGGTCTCAGATCAGTGGCTGTTTATCAACCAGTTTGGAACTAATTCAACATTTTCACAACTCACGGAGCCTTGTCCTGACAGAATGTCTCGCTCTGTACGAGATGTTCCCAATAACACTGCCCCACAGTGACAACTTGGCCCTTTTTCACCACCCCTCATTATAAAGTCCTCTGTGCCTGTCACACTCACTAACACACTAAGCATTTTTCATAGCAAATGTGCTCGTCCCTGACTTCTGTTTGCTCTGCCCAAATGCCTTCTCTCCCTACCCTGCCTGGTAGATACTTAATAGTTCTTTTTTTATTTTTTTTAATTTTATTTTATTATCTTACGTTAGTCACCATACATTATATCATTAGTTTTTGATGTAGTGTTCCACGATTCATTGTTTGCGTATAACACCCAGTGCTCCATTCAATATGTGCCTTCCTTAATAC